GTAGCACACACACACACAAACGCACACACACAGTAGCGCACACACACAAGCGCACACACACATATGTAATACACACACGCACACACACACACACACACACACACACACACACACACACACACACACACACATATATACATACATATATATATATGTATGTATGTATCTACTACTACTTGTATGTATACACATACACGCACAAATACACACACACACACACACACACACACACACACACACACACAAACACACATACACACACACACACACATACACACACACACACACACACACACACACACACACACACACACACACACACACACACACACACACACACATACACACACACACATATATATGTGTGTGTGTGTGTGTGTATATGTATACATATACATTTATGTATATGTATATACATGCATAATTATGTATGTATGTTTATGCATATATAAGAAACTATATTTAGATTGGGCGAAAGGCAATTTGCAGAGGGTAAATAGAGAAACAAAAAGTTTCTCCTGTATCTGTGATGGAGTGTTGTGTTCGGTGGATCTCATTTGATGCCCTTTGTCGGTCTGAATGTCGCTGGTGAAAGTAAATTAAGTGAACAGCGCTGAGTCAGACAAACGTGATTTTTAGTTCCATTCGCCGGGACCAGTCTAGATCCATATTAGCATTTGATATATTTCACACGATTGGTTGAGATTTCATCCGCCAGGTTCTCTTTAATTCGCAATCAGACGTCGAACGGCACAGACCTCTGGAATTTACCGTTTGTCTCTGCTGACGGTGATCGAGGTGATGGGCATTCAACAGTTTCTGCAAATTGCAAGCAAACAGTATCCGCTGCTATGTACCTCGAGAACTAACGCGTATACACGCAAGAAACGTGTTGTGCATTGAAATGAGAGGATGTAGAAGGGGAAACTATGAAATTCAGTCATACAGTATGCGAAATTCTACCTGAGCTCCGGAATAGGGGAAAATAGGTCACCTAACCCTATCATCCAGGGTGAGTTCGAGATCAGAAGAGACAATAGGAAGCAGCAGTCGATCCAGGTGGAATCTTACGGGGAAGGGGCGATCGGCAAAGTTGACGGAATGAGACCAAGGCGCGAGACGATAACTGAGCTCGATGAGGCCTTCCTCGAAAAGACGGACGATAGATGGAGATTGCACCCAGAACTGCCGAGTGTTTCCTTCAGTCATTCCTTTGTGTTATCTTGTCTTCTCCTCCTCCCGTCTGTTGTCTTCGTCTCCTTTCAAGGGAGAAGGCACCAGGAAGAGGGGGCGAGGAGCAGAGACTTGTTATCTCTGTCTTCACATGTGCCAAATTTGCGGAGTAAATATATATTTTTCACCCCGCCATTCTCCTTAGCCGTACCGTCGTCTTTCTCGGTTCTTTCGCTTCTTCTTATCTTCGGTTTTGAAACATATTTCGCTGCTGAGGCTTTTTTGCAAGAGAGAGAGAGAGAGAGAGAGAGAGAGAGAGAGAGAGAGAGAGAGAGAGAGAGAGAGAGAGAGAGAGAGAGAGAGAGAGAGAGAGCGCGAGAGCGAGAACAGAGCAAGAAAGGAAATTGCTTTAGTCACGCATGTGCGGACACCTCTCGTTCCCCACACAAAACAGGAACCGAATCACCCCGTGATCGACTCGGCATCCCGGGCGAATCAGGTGCCAATACTACGATACACTCTTGTCGATGTTCACTCCCGTTCAAATAATAAAAGACACACATGATGTACTAGAAATCCATAAGTAGATATCAGATTGGCACTATATTTTTTTTCTGTCCACTTCAATTGCAGTTAGGTTACAATGAGAGACACTGTGTGAACAAATAGTGGAATGTGGCATGTGATGGAAGCAATCTGTAGCTAAAAGAGGAGAATGACGTAGTTTTAAGATGATGTCTCTCGCACACATTCATTCGTCGCTTTACACTCATCGCGCTCACAACACGCATTCAGTTTGTGCATATACACACCGGCACTCACATGTATACATAAGTACATATAATCACACACACACACACACACACACACACACACACACACACACACACACATATATATATATATATATATATATATATATATATATATATATATATATATATATATGTATGTATGTATGTACACATTTGTGCGTGCGTATATAATGAAACACATACTCACGCACGCACACCACACACACAGCAGCATTTCTATGGAAGCCTTGGATTTTTCTTTACCTTGATGTAATAAAATAAAATGTGTTTGAATTTTCCTCGACACTGCTTTTGTGTTCTTATTTACTACTCCCTTTAATATTAAAGAGATAGATCATTTTGCTTACACTGTCTGCACTCGGAATGTGTGGCTGGAGAGAGAGAGAGAGAGAGAGAGAGAGAGAGAGAGAGAGAGAGAGAGAGAGAGAGAGAGAGAGAGAGAGAGAGAGGGCGTGTATGTTTAAACTAAATGAGAACATTTTTGTTGGAGTTTTATGAATGAGTGTCGCTTTAGATTACAGAGTAGATTGTATACGACCCAAAAGAACGGACAAAATAAAAAAAATAAATGGAATTCCTCTGCGTTTCTGTATCCTGCTTTTCCAGACACAGGTAACGAGAAAGAAGTAATAAAGACTTAATGAACTGAAAATAGAAAAAGATATTTGTTGAATAAATAGACATGAAATTTCCCATTTTACATGTACAAGCAAAATAGAAATGAATGATAATAATCATGGTCAATAAAAAGGATGAACATGATTGATGATAGAAATATTAATCATACCTATAATAACGATACCAAGGACGGTAAGAATGGTAAGCTCCTATCATTAACAATGTAATAGAAATAGCAATAGAAGTAAGAATAGTAATGATGTAGATAGTAGCGACAGTGAGCGTAATAATAGTAATGAAAATATCACGATAAAAACAATAGGAACAGAAATGATAAAAATAATTATCATAATGGCGTAATGATAAAAAGTGAAACAACAAAAGTAAGATGATAAAAATTAAGCCCACAATCCAAGTCAGTCCTGGAGATCCGCCACCAGCTCAAAGGTGTCTCAGATTCCAGCGGCCGAAAAAAGAAGAAAAAATAATAACCGTTAAAAATACTTAAAAGTTCGAATGGTGTACCTTGCTGAGACCTGGCCTCCGAGGCATCACTCTCTCTCGTCTGAGGAAATCTTTTGTGTGTGTTTCTAAGAGATGAAAGATCTAGATTATGCCTGTGGGAGAAAAGGGAAAGGGGTTTCAACTTTGTATATGTTGAGAAAAGGTAGTTTGAAAAATGTGTATATTCCTATACAAAAACACGCAGACCACGGACTAGCACATGTGGGCTAACATATCCACACGCAAACACACACATACGGACACACACACGTACTTTATGCATACATAAGTACAGATAAGCATACATACAGACACACACACACACACACACACACACACACACACACACATACACACACACAAACACACACACACACACACACACACACACACACACACACACACACACACACACACACACACACACAAACACACACACACACACACACACACACACACACCCACACACACACACACACACACTCACGCACGCACGCACGCACACATACACTCCTACTCCCATTCCCACTCATACACATGCTAACATACGTTCGCTAACATACGTGGGTACTGCCAACAAACACTATTTTCATGTGTGCACTTTTTCGCTCTCCTAATGTTTGCAATTCAAGAAAAGTCAAGCGCAGGTGATGAATAGAAGTTTATGGACACTGCAATGGCAAAGCAGCTCATTCACCCTAAAAAATACTTAAAAAGGAATATTTTTTTTATGATAGATACACTCAAAAACATTAAATGCTACCAGAAAAATTATTTCACACTCCATATATCTACATGTACTGCTGTTCAGGAAAATCAGATTCCTATGCGGTGTCGCATCTCTTTATTGATTCGACCTGTCAAAATATATTTCATGAAATTTCTGTACATTGCAAAAGAACATCAAACACAGTCAGAGGCACAATGTCATACAGAATCAGTCTATGGAACAGTGCAAACAAAGTATACAAAATCTATATAGCTCCTAATGATACATGACTGGTTTATAAAATGTACAGAGTTTAAGAAAGACATTGGAACAAAAAAATCATAGTTCAACAATAAATCAAACAAAAACACTCACAACATGGCCGCACTATCTCTAATCGATGAATGAACAGGAGACTGCCAGGCCTGCACTTGGTCAACACGTGGAAAGCAATCACAATACACCAGTCAGTACATCAATCTATAGCACTTATTAGTCCCGATAATGTGGCAATCAAATAACTCATTCCATGCGTGACAGTTTAAGTCTAAGGGCCATTTCAAATCTTTAAAATCAATTACATTATACTGCTTACACTAATATTAACAATAAACAAGGGGAATCGTATAGCAAAGAACTGTGTAAATTCCTCACAAAGTATGAATGTAGATAATGCCAACACAAGCAAATCTAGATATTTCAAATAAAGTAAACAAACCAATCATATTCCGCAATAAGTATGAATGAGAATCACTGAATCATCTTGAATCATAACAATAAAGAACAAAGAGGATCATGCAAAATATATCCATTAGAAAATCAAATTCAAATTTCTGTAATACATAAAGCAGTTATAAGATATCCAATGGACTTTATAAAACAATCACCAAGCCATAGAAATTTCCACATTAAAAATCGTATATGACAAAAGCTATTAACATTGCTCAGTTTCACGTGAATCATGTGTCACTTAATTACAAAATCGAGTATAATGCAAACAATATCTTTACGTACCTCCTATACGAATGTCAATTTCAAGAGAATAAAACAGAAGCAAAGACACTTCAAAATCTTGTGCCAAGGGCATCCCCTCGCTCCAGTTTTCACAAATTCCGTAGAATACGACTCAACTAAACATAATGGATATTAAGCTATATATTCAAGAATACACAGTCTGACTA